ATGGGGTGTGCACAGCAGCGTCAGCTATGGTTTTGGTGAGAGGCTTTTCTTCTATTGGGAATGGGGCCTCCTCCTCCTCTGCTTCCGTTACTGCAAGTTTGGAGGTTTGCACCTGGGCCTCGGTTAGTGAGGGGGAAAGAGGCACTTCCTCTGTTTCTGTTATTGCAAGTTTGGAGGTTTGCACCTGGGCCTCAGTTAATGATGGGGAAGAAAGCTTCTTTAGTAACTCAATACTTGACGTTTGCACCTGAGCCTTGTTTACTAAGAGGGAAGAAAGCTTTTTCAGTAACTCAATACTTGAGGTTTGCACTTGGGCCTCAGTTTGTAGCCGTGATGAACGCCATTTATTCCCTGCTGGTATGTCCACATATGAGGTTTGCACAGCAGCGTCAGCTATGGTTTTGGTGAGAGGCTTTTCTTCTATTGGGAATGGGGCCTCCTCCTCCTCTGCTTCCATTACTGCAAGTTTGGAGGTTTGCACCTGGGCCTCGGTTAGCAATGGGGAAGAAAGCTTCTTCAGTAACTCAATTCTTGACGTTTGCACCTGGGCCTCAGCTTGTAGCCGTGACGAACGCCATTTATTCCCTGCTGGTATGTCCACATATGAGGTTTGCACAGCAGCATCACTTTGGGTTGTGGGGACAGGCTTTTCTTCTACTGGGAATGGGGTCACCTCCTCCTCCGTTTCTGTTAATGCAAGTGTTGAAGTTTGCACCTGGGCCTCAGTTTGTGATGGGAAAAGAGGCATTTCCTCTGTTCCTGTTATTGAAAGTTGGGAGGTTTGTACCTGGGCTTCCTTTTGTGAGAGGGAAGAAAGTGTCTTTAATAATTCATGATTTGAGGTTTGCACTTCAACTTCAGCAAATAATGGGAATAAATTCTTCACCTGCATGTCTTGAAAGTCAAGATCTGGGGTCTGCTCCAGGGGCTCACTTTCTATGGGGAATAAAGTCTCTGCATCTAGTACTTCAATATGTGATGTTTGCACCTGGGCCTCCATTTGCGATGGCAATGAAGTCTCCTCCTCTGATATTTCAAGATCTGAGGTTTGTACCTGGGCCTCACTTTCAAATGGGAGGAAAGTCTCTTCGTCTGGTAGTTCGAGATTTGAGGTTTGCACCTGAGCTTCTGTTTGTAATCGCGACCAACGCCACCTATTTCCTGGTGGTATTTCGACATAGGAAGTTTGCACTTGGACATCGGCACAGAATGAGTCTTCTGCAATTTGCTGTAAACGACAAAAAACAAACCCCCCATAAATATGTCCATCTACTTTTCAAAGCAAAAGTGAAGCTCCTGTGATGATGCACTCCATATGTTTTATGGAAATATGCTTATGAGTGTAAATATGAGGTAACTGGAATATGCTTTATGCAAAAGGTCTCTTGTAAGGTATCATAACAACGGTTATAACCTACTGAACATATTCCTCCTATTTGTATGCATGTATCATTCTTGTATCTGAAGCTAGAAAAATATAAAGTATAACTCTGGGGTCCTATTGTAATTATGTAAAGTGTTGGCCATTGATGATGGTTTAGAATCTTGATGGCTCCCATTGACTAGGACAATTGGTTGTAAATGGCTCTGTTTACTTGCAAGCCTTCCTGTGTTTGTGTAAGCCAGCCCAGGAAGAATGGAGGCTGGGGGATCTCACAGGACATGTGACCATGTCACATGATGCTAAAATCCATCTTAAATCTGGTACTTTTTCATTTAGGAGGAGGGTGGGGACCCAGAGAGACAAAATATACCTGACTTGGGCCAAAGCTATAAAAGGGGGGTAGAACAGAACAAAGGTGGCTGCCAGTCATGAGAAATCCCCTAGTTACCACGTGAGCTGGAACTAACAAGGACTGTACCAGGGGAAAGGATTGGGCCCAGACTAGGAAGGAATCTAGTCTGTTAAAGAAGCTTATTGGAATATCTCAGAGGGTGAAATTTTACCTGTAAACAGTTTCTTAATGTATTAAGCTTAGACTTGCGTGTTTTTGCTTGGTGACTTACTTTGTTCTGTCTGTTATTACTTGAAACCATTTAAATCCTATTTTTGATACTTAATAAAATCATTTTGATTTATTAGTAAACCCAGAGTAAGTGATTAATATCTGGGGGAGCAAACAGCTGTGCATATCTCTCTATCAGTGTTTCAGGGGGCAGACAATTTATGAGTTTACCCTGTATAATCTTTATACAGAGTAAAACAAATTTACTTGGGGGTTTGGATCCCACTGGAAACTGAGTGTCTGGGTGCTGGAGATAGGTGACTTGCTGAGCAGTTTTTGGTTAAAGTCTGCAGCTTTGGGGGTGTGGACCAGACCTGGGTCTGTGTTGCAGCAGGCTAGCATGTCTGGCTCAACAAGGCGGGGTTCTGGAGTCCCAAGCTGGCAGGGAGAGCAAGCTCAAAGGTAGGAGAGTGTCTAATTCCTTGGTAGCAGCGGAAAATGGGCCGTGTAGTTCTGGGGCTCAAGGCAGGTCCCTGCGGGAAGGGCTGGATAGAGCCAGCTTCTGTCCTGTGATCATCTCCTTGGGGGAGGGGGATGTTCCACCTTGTAACAGGGAGGCCTTCCCAGCTGACTGCCAGGAAGTTGCAGGTCAGCAGGGGACAGGCCCAGGGGTGCACATAAACATGAATCCCAGAGGTGGAAGTTGGGATCCTGATGACCGCTGCGGTAGGAACAACCCCGAGGGCTCTGTAGCCCCAAGCTGAGTGAAAGGGGGGTGAGCCCAGTGAAGGGTGAGTCCACCAGGCAGGGTTCTCGAGTCCCAAGCTAGCAGGGAAAGCAGGCTCAGAGGTAATTCCAGCATGTCAGGTGACAGTCCCAAGGGGGACTCTGTGACCGAACCTGTCACAGCTCCACAGCTAGAAAGTCCTCCACCCCTGCTGGCTTGGCATAGCAACCCACACAAGCCAACAAAATAAAGAACAGCCAAAGAGACCTACAGGACATTGTTCTCAGACCAGTAGTTTACTTGCTGCTGCTTTTAGTGGGCAGCAGCATGGCACAAGGTAATGCCCCTGTCTGTTGACTGAGCAACGAGGTGGAGGCTGTGGTCATTATCTGCGCCAAAAGATAGACATCAGCATCCAAGCGGCTCATCTTGTGGACAATGAAGAACTGTGATGGCAGTAAAGGAAACAGAAGCAGGCAGTATGCTTTGTGCATGTGTCCCATTTGCAACCACTCAGCCTGCATGCTTGCATTTCAGCAAGAGATGTCCTAGAAGTAGGATGACCAGATGTCCCGATTTTATAGGGACAGTCCCGATTTTTGGGTCTTTTTCTTATATAGACTCCTATTACGCCCCATCCCTGTCCCGATTTTTCACACTTGCTGTCTGGTCACCCTACTTAGAAGGGTGCTGGGAAATGGAGCGATGGCAAGTCATTGGCCATGTGATTATTGTACAGCATTTGCACGAGTACTGTGCAGTTTTAAAATGGGGAGAAAAAAATGCATGGCTTGCCAGTTTTACAATTTGATATGTTATCCAAGAGCATCCCTCACAAAAAGGATACAAAAGTCAGGGCTGCAACGTTTAATTTCTCTGTTGCTTGGGGGTTCAGGAAAACCTTCAATACTTAACTTGATTTTATTAACAAATAAAAATGTTAAGGGACAGATTTTTCAAACAAGCTCAGTACCCAACAGCTCCCAGTTAAGTACCTAAATAAAGTGGCAAGGTTTCCAAAATTGTTCATCAGTAACTATTAAGAACATGGGAGATCTCCATTACATGACAGTTTTACCACTGACATCAGTGACAGCTGCATTAGGCAAATGCTGAGAACTTTTCAAAATCCTTCCCAATGGCAGCTGCTGGGGGCTGAGCCTAGGGTGATCAGATCACAGAGGTGAAATATCAGGGGACGCGGGGGGTGGGAGTGCAGGGGGAAGCAAAAAAAAAAGCCGGCAGAGGAAGCACAAAAAACCACAGCTAGGCTTCCGCTCAGTCTCCACCTCCCTCCCTCCCACCAGCACTTGTGCCGCCATACAGCTGATCAGCGCAAGCCTGGGGGGGGAGGAGGAGGAATGCAGCGTGCTTGGGGAAGAGGCGGGGCCAGGGTGGG